AGTGAGGTTAGGTTGATGACTATGACTATGACTGTGATTCATAGTTGAGTGAGGTTAGGTTGATGATGACTATGACTATGACTATGATTCAAAGTTCAGTGAGGTTAGGTTGATGACTATAAAAAATCAAAATTTTCATCATTTTTTTTCCAACTTTTTTCAAACTCATCCAGCGATTCTAAACCATTCGAATAACCAAAAAAATTAATAATAAAAATTACCAAGGGCTTACTTCCGTTGAAAAAAATCTTATATAATATTGGTTTAATGTTCTACGGAATTAGCCCTCATCATCCTGAATATCATGATGATGATGATGATGATGAACACAGACAAACAGAGAGAAAGAGAAAACAACGACAACATTAATCTTTTTTTTCTTTGGCAAAATATTTTTAATTTGTATGCAAAACAAATATCATCATCCTTATTTGAATAAATGCAGGCAACAGTTGTCTCTGGCCCTCATTCATTTCATTTCGCACACACACACATAGAGAAAACACTTTAACCTTGCCGGCCAAATGGTTGATGATGGTTTTCGGATGTATATAATGGTGTCTATGTCTGAACGAGTGAGGTTCAAATTCCCCAGAAAAAAAATCTAAGCGGCAAATTAGATTTGTAATTATAAAAAGCGAAAAATCGTCAAGTCCAGTTTTGAACAACAACCCAAACAAACGTTCGAAATACGTTTACGGTCCAAAACAAAATAATGATAATGATCCTTGAAGATAAAATTGGGTCGGCTTGGTCAGTGTTTTCATATCACACACACACACACGGTGTCGACCAAAACTGACCGACCCAATTAAAAAATGCCATGAATGTAAAAATAGCCGGAACCTTTTGTTGTTTCTATTCAAACGGTACCAAAAAGGTAAAAAATAAAACAAGATTAATTGTGTGTTAATAGCCCGCCAATCATCATCATCATCATCATCATCATCATGATTATGATAGGGTATAATCATCATCATCCTTGGCGAAAAAAAAACTAAATCGATTTTCGGCCCATAAATTTTATTTCACCAATCATCATCAAAAAATGAATCAAAGAAAAAAACATGACAGAAAAATGATCGAAAAATGTTTTTAAATCAGGATTAACAACATCATCGATCAATTTAATTAACACCTATCTATTTTTGTATGCCTATTTCTACCTAATCTACTAAATCATGAAAATGGGAACGAGAAAATTTCGATTTGACGATAATGATGATGCGCTGATTGCAATTAGTTTTTTTCTAAAGATCGAAATAGAAAAAAAACCGGACCGCCCGATCATCAACAGGTATTTTTTTCAAAGAAAAAGAAAGAAAAAACCTAATCGATCGATCGATCGATTGATGATCAAACTTAAATATATTTCAAATGATAATGATGATTATCATCATCATCGTAAAAGGTGCGATTATTTGACGCATCATTATCATCATCTAATTTCGTTTTAGTTTCATTTGAAGATTGATTAAGATTAAAAATCGATAAATATTTGTGTGATGTGTGTCTAAATGAATTGACTTTTGTTCGATCAATTCTGTGGTCATATCGATCAAAAAATTCATTGTGTGTAGGCAGGTAGGCACAGGTATCCGAACAAACTATCAAACAAACTTACCATTTAAAAAACTGATCAACAGGATTGTGGTTGAAAAAAATGATGATAATTTTGATGAGGGCAGATTGAAGGCCGCCATTTTAAGATTATTAAAACGATTTGTTTGGTCGAGGTTTACCCAAAATGAAAATTAGATTACAAAAAAATCATATGGGAATTTTTTTTGTTTCGTCGATAAAGAAGAAGAAAATCTTGTTGACGACCATACAAATGTGATGAATTCAAGAAAAAAAAGAAACTTTCACAAATCCAAAGGAAAAAGTTTAAAACAAACAAACAAAAGTTGACAAAAAAAAAACACTTTGATGTCAAAACGGATGTTTTTTTTCTGTTGTTGTTGTTGAAATTGGACGAATTTTTCATGGATCAAACAAACACACACAAGATATATTCCAGAACTGAATTTTCTTTTTTTCTCAAATTACAAAAATAATAATAAAAAAACCAAAACAGAACCAAAAAACAGCCAAAAAAATAGAAAATTTTCACAAACACGGTGAGGCAATGCACAGATCTTGTTTCAACCGAAGCTTGATATTGAATGAATCGAGAATGAATTTTTGGCCGTCGTTGTCGTCATCGAGAAGCCGAAAATCTCAGTGCAAAACGATATGATCATAGAAAGAGAAATACGGCTTTACGCTTAACACTGTGTGTGTAATGGTGGTCATGGCTCTCTCTGTTTGGTTTTCTCTCGACGATATGAACAGAGGACGGAAAAATGTTGTTGATTTTCGTGAATGAATGAATGAATGGCCAGAAAAATGATTGAATGAATGAATGAATTGTCAGCCAAGCTAGAAAAAGCCAAAGATCAAAAACTAAAAACTAAAAACTAAAAACGTGAAACACACGTACCCGATGATGGTGGTAGTATTTTTACCCTCGGTCTTCTTGTCCTTTTTCTTCAATTCAGTTCAATAACTGTGTTTTTTTTGGTTGGTAGCAATTTCGTTGATGATTTCTTTCGTTATCAACAGGTCCATAAAGCAGCAGCTGCATAATTTTTAGGCCTGTGTTGGAACACTTTGCTCTATTTTATCCTTGTTGATCTTTCTTTCTCTCACTCACTAACTTTACGAATACGAAACGTAGTGTGTTTTTCCAACAACAACAAAAAAAAGCAAACCCAAGAAATGAAAAAAATATGCCGCATATGTTTTACCCAAAATAAAAAGTCCAAATTATGTACCGTACACACACACACATCATTCATTCATTCATTCATTCATTAATGATGAAAGAAATGCCCGCCACACATACACATACACATATTCAATTCATCTGCTCTAGTTTGAAGATTGTCCTAAGTAAGTATAGCCCGTAAGGTTTTCTTTTTTTTACCTTTTGTGTCACACGAACATAAGTCATACATATAGTGTGGTGTGTGTGTGTTGAAAATAAAATAAATAAACTATAGGGGCCGGAAGACTGTCAATATAAACATAGACACTAAACACACACACACACACACACAATCAATTTAGATCGATAGATTTATGTATGTTTTGGTGGGGGAACCTCGATCATTCGTGTGCCAAAAATATAAAAAAAATCTCTCTGAATGAATGAAATTTCACTTACCTGAATGCATATGGCTGAATACGTTGTTGTTGCTGTTGCTGTTGAAACGGTGGAAAAAACCGTCCAAAAGAAGAAAAGATCTTTTTTTTCTATCGATTCGGTGACAACACCTGTCCATATTATATATAGTGAAAATGTCACCGGGAAAAAAACGAAAAAACCAAGGTCCCCACACATTCAAGATTGATCACTACAGACAACATATTTCCTATTCACATTTTCATTTGATTTGAATAGGAAAAAAATAAATTTTCCAGTAGCCAAAATGCTGCGACAATAGTAAACATACAACCAGAGGTCCCCGTACAACCTGAACATACTGTTGACTTGGTGATAAGCCAGGTTCCAACAAAACAGGACCAACTGTTGTGCGTAACATAGGTAACCACCACCAATGTCAACTTGATTCATTTTGATTTTGAACAATTTTTCATAATGAAAAATCCACAATGAATCAAAATGAAACAAGGTTCATTACACACACACACACTTGTACAGTGGTGGTGGTGACCAGTATCAATGGTAAATAAAGTGACATGTTTTTTCTTCAAAGTTTCTTCATCGTCAGTCAAAGACATCCGGTTAGTATTTGATAGTCAGCCAGCCAGCCAAAATACCTTATCTCACTTGAATATGATGGTCACCAATCATCATCATCATCATCAAGGCTGTGTCGTGACTGAGTGACCCGAGGTCAAATTCATTGGTTGGTTGGCCAATTTGGGGTATACAGAGAAACATTCCAAAGACTATATGAAGCAGAAAAAAAAGGAAGAAAATATCGGCTCGCTTTACATCTGTCACCGATATTTTATTTCAATTTTCTTCAACAACAAAAAAAATTTCTTGAAAAAATTTTGCCGATAAGCACAAATAGCCAGAAAAAACCGGGAATGTTTCTCTCTCTCTCTCTCTCTCACTCGATGAGCCATTATGGATTTTGATAATGATGATGATGATGATGATCAGATAAGCGGTGATAAAAAAAAACACATTCAAGAAGAAATTAGAGGGAGATATCTTTTGGGCGTCGACGGCTGAAATGAATATATATTTTCAATCAAAAAAAATCAAAAATTTTGATGATGGTGGCCATCGTTCATCGTCGTGGTCGTTATCATCGTCGAAAAAAGTGAAAAAAACATTTCGAATCCGATTATCATTCGAAAACTCTTTCAAAGTTTTTTCTTCTTTCTTCTTCATCAAATGCTGTTGATTATCAATAACAAAACTTACATTTTTTGTTTTCGATAAACGAAAAAAATCGATGATAATTTGGTGTGGCCAACATCCGAATGTAATAAATTTCGTTCGAATATTCGAATGATAAAAACATTCGAATGTTTTGTCGGCAGCGGCGACTATATCGCTGTCAATCGATCTTCTTATGTCATAATAGTGTGTGTTTGTTTTCGATTTCGAATGTTTTTTCCCGATTTCGAACGTTTTGATCGCTAATCGGTTTTACACACATATCCATAGCTTCTGTGCATATTTTGTTTGTTTTTATGATTTTCATTTGATGATGATCATCTTGATGAACATCTTGTGATGGTGATGATGATGATTTGTGACCATCAAAGTTGAAGATATTTATTGCATATAGAAGAATAAGTTGATGGTGATGTTTGTTTACATTTGTCCGATGTAATGTATGTATGAAAATTTCATTTTTTCCTTGGTTTCAATTCAGAAAAAAAGTCAATTTATTTAGTAGTTAATCGAAAAAAATTGAATTGATATGAATTATTTTTGGGCTAAAATTATGAATATATATTGATGCCATAAATCATGGTTGTTTTTTTGTGAATGGTAATGTGGTAATTCCATAAGATTATTTATCGTTTGCTGTTGATGCAAGTGTGGCCAACACCGCCGCATCATGATGCCTGTCGATGTTGTCGATGTCAGTGTCATCATAATCATCATCATTGCCGAATGACTGATGAATGAATGAATGAATGAAAAGACACGGCTGACATTCATTCATCCATTTAATGCAAGTTGATCCTTAAGCTAAACAAATTTTTTTCGTTTTTTCGTTTCGTTTGATATGTAAACATATAGCGGATCAAGTGCAACAAGTGCGAAAAAGAAACGAAGTAAAAAGAAGAAGAGAGATTATCATCGTTTGAATCAATTTGACACGTTGGCTTGACGTTGGTCGAGAATAATATTTATGTTCCGAATATGGATAATGATGATGATGAACGGACAAACTTGAAAAAATATTTTAATTAGCTTAGTGTGTGTTGGTGGTGGTTGGTTCAGCTTGTTAACTTGTTACCATTATCATCATCATCATCACCAAGTGAGTTTTTTTCGTTTTGAATAAAAATTTTAAATTTTAAAGAATTTTTTCTTTTCCAAATTTGTAGAATTGATGTCGATTTTGGTAATGTTGGTGATGAACAAGTGGAAACATCAACGAGAAAAACTAGACCACCAACCAAGATGATAATGAAAAATCATATCAACCAAGTTCCTGTTTGTTTTGAAAACATTTTCTTCCGATCATCATCATCATCATCATTGATCGGATCATCCAAATCCAATTGGGTGTTGGTGTTTCACCACTGCCCACACACACACACGCACATTCCGGCATGATTTTTTTGTATAAACATTTGTTTGTTTGTTGTGGTTTTTGTTCGTTTTGGATCTGGCCATCCAGCTAGTCATCCAGATTCAGTCAGTCAGCCATCCAGCCCTAAAACAAACACAACCAAAATTCCAATTGATCTGGACATGCACAAATCATACAGTGCAGTGTTTGGTGGTGATGGTGATAATATTATGACTGAAGATTGGAAAATTTATGGCCACCATCTGTTGTGTTGGTGATAGAGTTACACCAAAATCATTCATTCATTTCATTCAATATGAATGGATTTTTTTTACTAAGTTTTCTTTAAAGAAAATTCCATCGTTCATATCAAATGTCAAATTTTTGAATTTGAATGATGATGATGATGAATGAATGAAGAATAAGTGAATCAAAACACCCGGATCATCAATCGATCGATCGATCGATGATTGAAATCGAAATCAAAATCAAAATGGCCATTTATTATGTAATCACGCATTATCAAATCGAACATAAACATTATATGTATAATCACATCGATCTAGTTTTATTTATTTTTGCCCATTGGCTATATTTTTGGCAAAGAATGATGATTATTATTATAATGATAATAATAATGGTGGTGGTGGTTTGAAATGAAAATGATATGAAATATTAACCACAGAATCACGGAAAAAAAAGAACCGCCAAACCAATGAAAAGAAATATCGTGGGCGATCTCCAATCATCATCATCATTATGAACGACGGCGGCGGCAATCGAAAAAATCATTCAATTTTTTCGAATGATGGCGATGATACACTTTCAAATTATCAAATTATCGACATTTGATTTCAATTTCAATTTCGACTTTTTTTGAATTTAACTTTTTCTATTATCATCATCATCAACAGCATTATCATCGGAAATGAATTTTGTGACATTCATTCATTTATTCAACCAAAACAACAACAACAACAATGATGTTACTATTTAAAACATCACACCGGAATCTCTTTTCTTTTCTTTTTTTTTCATTTTTGATTCATCTGATCGATATGCCCTGATGACCTAACTTGATGATGATGATATTATCACCGGAAACAAAATACAC